GGATCTCATCCGCAAAGAGTATATCTGATAAAGAGGTCTCACTTTTTGAATGCAATTCACGATAAAATAACAACAAAACAGAAAAGGTTTCACCACTTGTTTATTGTATAATAAATATGTGTTAATGTTATAGACTTTTTGTTAAGAAATATCCATTTCAATGCAACTAAAATATAATAACTCTTATGAAATATATATAATTTTACGCAAATTAGACCACAATTACTGACAATAGATGAAACGTTGGTCTAAAAATCATTTGATATCAAAGGGTATAACAAATTGCATACAAATGTGTTGCTATTTTAGTTGAAATATATACTTTTCACACAAATAGCATAGAAACATATATTCAAATTCAATTGTTATCAATATGCAATTGTTATGACTACTTTATGTAACGTCATAACATAGATTAAGTACATTTTACTTTTGCAGTACAGTGAGTACATTTTAATTTATCTAGCAACAAGATTCTAGGTACTAATAATGTATTTCATATTGATAATTGGATTTGGATTAATATTTCATTAGATATGATAATCAGATGGCCTTATGGTGTGCTTTAAATGTGAAATAAAAGTGTTATTAATTAATGATATTTGAGGGCAAAATGAGATAACAATTTGTGGGCAAAATGATGTGACACTAAAATAAACAAATGTCTTCTCACGTCAGACATGAGATAATCATTAAAACATCCCTTTTTCCTAATGAGGAGACATTCAGTTTACGCTAATTATCAAATATTTTATATAATTATTAAGCGTATGAATACCGTTGACAACCAATACAATTATCTGTCGGTTATAAAGGATGTGAAATTTAATTTTATTAATAACTCATTATAGATATCTCCGGTATTATTGCCACTTAACCTCTCGATGAATACAAAGTGCATATTTGTGGCACTTATTTATGATATAGCCGTTTGATTGGGAAAACTATTTAAAAATGATAAAAACAATTTTTGATTTGTTTTGAAAACGATATCATTATTAGCAATAAAAATGATATAAAGGATATGAGGAGAGAATATGAGGAGAGAAATTATATTTCTTGTATTATAAATTATATAATTTATAAGGTTTGGGACGCATATCGGGAGCGGGATATACACTATCAATAGATAACAATATGAACGCAATGGCAATAATCGCTATCACCTGTGGATCTCTCACTCTCTTCGCGGAGTGAATGTACAAAACGTGCGCTCTTTATAAGCAATGGAGTCATTGATTATGATTTGCAATAATCGTGTAAATCATGCGGAAAAGCACTCTCTCTTTCTCTCTCTCTCCCGGGTCTCAATCACAGCACCAAAAAACTGGTATTTTCTGTCGATATATGTGTTATCATTAATTCAGTAAAAATTATTGTTTAACGCATAGAAATGTGTGGAGAAAATTGGTGATCATTTTATGTATGTGTAATGTATGCCATAGATTGGTATGATTGCTAAATCCGATGAAGGACATTTGATGCAAAACCTCAAAATCAAGGTCTTTTACTGCTAACGACTCAATTGCCAAATGGGTATACAATTATCTGACGTCTATGTCTGCCATCGCATACACACAACCAGAATATCCACTGTATTTAACGCACATGTCTTTTCCCAACAGTAGTTATCGAGTGGTGAGAGAAAAATAATGGCTAAATATATATATTATTTATTTGTATAATTTTAAACACCAATAATTCATTTGTTTATATCCTTATATTGACGGCAAAAGTGATATTAAAATTATTTGTATCGCCTCTCGGATAAGGTTACCCAAGAAAACAAAAATCCTGTGATAAACATCTGATGTAATCGTATTGTATTAGAAGGAAGTGTTGAGACAATGTCCGCAATATCTTCACTCAAATCCATGACAACCAATATATTGCGGTTGAATAGCAACGGACGCAATGTTTTGGCAACAAAATTGCCGCTAATCTCAGCCAACATTCAACACACGGCAACATCCAGGTCATTGTGCAGCGATCGTGATCATAATGGTAACAATGCACCTAACATTGCACCTAGCAGGAAACTAAGACCAGACTCATCGCGTGAGTTTCCATTATTTACCTCAATGTTTATACACTTGTATGGGTCCTCCCGTACCGCCCGGCCCTCCCAACACATCCCTATCCATCAGATGCCAAACCTGTCCATTAAATTCACTCTAATTTTATTTTCTCAGATATTTGTCTCGTTTTTGTTTTATTCGCCAATAGTTTTCTCATATAAACTAAATGTTTGTATTATATGAAAGAGATTGAGAGGACGACACACCACCACAAACACTGTGTGTCTCTCCCAACGTCTCCCTCCCATTACCTGCCACTGTATTCCCAGCGCTGCTAAACAGTGCTATCATTAATAGAAGTGGGAATAGTGTGGGAACTATTGGACCACTTCTTGTAATAATTTAATGACAACTATTCATTCATTCTCTCATTGCGTACGGAATATATGTTTAGTATATGTTTTATATTGTCTTTATATAAGCGGCAAAATTGTGGGAATTTGCTAATCGTGTGTAACATTGAATTCTGTTCACATGTCTCTCTCTCTCTCTCTCTCTCTATTTTTTGGCTCTCCTTTTGGTTCTCATCACTCATTCACTCAATTCTCTCACCATTTATTTTGGCTTTTATTTTGTTTTATAATTTTCTCTCTTTTTTCTGTTAATTTAATTTACAATTTTGCTCTTTCAACCCATTCTCTACCCCATTATCAACGCTTTCTCTCTCTCTCTCTCTCTCTCTCTCTCTCTCTCTCCTCCCATCCCTGAATGCAAGTCTCGCAGCCCTCATGTAATGTGCATAACATGTACTTAAAACAAATAATTATTGTATTTAAATGTATTTTATTTTTTATTACTGATTCTCATTTCTCTTTTACTTAATTCTCACAAACTTTACTTGAATTGAAAGTCGAGATTATATTGTAATTATCTCAGCATTTATTGTGCGCTTAAATGTATGAATCTTTGACCCAAAATATTTTATTTTGTTTCTTTTCAAATATATTTGAATATGGATTTTGAATGTGTTTTAAATATTTTGCTTATTTTAAATGTACTTAAAAATAATTGTTATAATTATGAGAGAGAGAGAGAGAGATGTAAGATATTGAATGTGTGAATCAATCTCTCAGTCAATACATAAGTGAATAATTGTATGTATTTTACGATAAGATGATGAAAGAAAATTGATTCCCAATAAAACAAAATAAAAGCCAAAATAAATGGTGAGAGAATTGAGTGAATGAGTGATGAGAACCAAAAGGAGAGCCAAAAAATAGAGAGAGAGAGAGAGAGATGACAGTAAATTGAAAATATAATTTAGAGAGAAATACTTGTTTTCATTCATTATTATTAAAAATAAATATTCATTTATTTATTATAAATAAAATATAAAGAGATCTATAGATAATATTTGTGAATCAATTATAACGTTAATAAATAACAGTTTTAATATTTTTTATTTACCAAACTAAACCATTGGCACGAATTCATTATAATGTATTTTGAATACATTTCTATCACAAAAAATGTTAAATATAAAACTTAAATATGCAAACAATTGATAGTTATATCAAATTATATGCTAAAAATATTTTAATATTAAATTTCAAATATAATTCATAGCATTTAAATCCAATTAACACTTTATATAACAGTAATATTGATAAATAAAACCAGAAATCCTTTTCCAGATATCACTGTCTGTAACCCCACTGTGTCTACGGTTTAATTAATTGTAATACAAAACGTTAATTAAATTTATTGCTCAATTTTTCTTCGTTTAATTAAATTAAAATTGATTTCAATCTAAATGAAATTGAGGTTAAATTAAATGCTTAAATAAAAGTTTTCTATTATATATTGTAAATTGAATAAACATTATAATTGTTATACAATTTATATTTGAAAATCTCCTTTTCATTGATTTGATGATCTCTTTGACTGAATATAAAGCATAGATTAATATAATATAACTATTTGACAACAAGAATCTTACCATTAATTTATCCTAAATTTTTTTCACACAATTAAAACTTTTCCTGAATTAATGTTTTGAAATATATTTTTTTAATTTTAATTATCAAAGAAATGATTTACAATTTTTCTCAAACACTATATCATTCCTAACGTAAAGTTAATGAACTGTTCATTAATTATTTTGTGAATAATATTCAACACTTTGATAAGACTTTTATTTATTTTATTTTTGGATTTAAAATACAATAGAAATTTTAGTTAAAATTATTTATTACTTTTCGCTAAACTTAAAAATGATATCAAAAAACAAGTTTAGATAAACAGTTAGTCTGAATAATCTTTTTTCATAATAGGTTTTAATGTTTAATGTAATTAAAACCAGAACTAAATATCTGATAAAATGTTTGTCTTTTTAGTAATTAAATTAAACCACTTTTAAAGTAAATCTCTTTTTTGTCAACAAAAACAATACAAAAGTGTTTTTAATTAAACGAAAGCTAAAAATATTAAAATCTTTTTATTTATAACTCCTAATCAAAAGGACCGGTATATTAAATGAATGAACAGTTAGATTAGATTACGAGCTAGGAACTTCTTGCTAACTTTGCAAACACTGTTATAATAAATAAAAGTCATTTTCTCGACTTAAAATATTTAATAATGCCTTCAAAACATAATATAAAATACGGTTTCATTTGATAGTCAATTGAAATATAAGTGTCTTTTAAATAGTAATTAAACTCTAATTTATTTAGTCGTAAACATAATCATAACTGCTGTGCAAAAGCGGTTCACTCCTTGTTTTTTAATATATTGATAATTCATTTTGAAAAATGCATACAAATATTGAGATTTGATTTACAGCTAAGAGAATATGAATTAAATTTCAATAATTTATTTATATTATACCATAATTTATAAATAACTGTCGGCTATAACTGCAATAAAAACAGCTCTCATTTTAATATCGTTTTAATCAAATAATTCATTTAAACATTAGATATGATTAGTATATCATTATTAATGCATTCATTAATCACTTGCGGATATTTTGCATTTTGTGATTTAATTTTTGTTTATTTCAATTTATAATAAAAATTGTTTTTCATTATAGACTATATTAAACACTACAGTATTACAGATACGAGTAAATCAGGAATTAATTTCCATAATAATAAACATGAATTTATATTACGTTATTAATTGATTCAAATTATGCAACAAATGCTTATTAAAATGGTTTATATATTCATTTCAAACAATTTTGTACTAATTTGCAGGACCTGAGCACTGGTACGCCGACTATCCCATATCATTAATAGGCAAACGCCAGTCGCCCATCAATATCGCGACCCACGAGTGTCTGCTAAACAATAGAGATCTGGAGCTAAAACCACTGGTCATTGAATATCCGAAACAATTCTCGGGATTAGTCCTCAAGAATCCAAGAGATGACAAGTTTTACGGCTGGAGAGTAGACGTGTTCAATGAGATCGACAGAGCGGGTACTGTATATGCACTCAATGTTTTTGATTAATTATAGTATTTGTAGTATTAAAACGTTATCATAATTAATAATGTTAACTAAGTATTGTTTTTGGGAAATTGGATTAAGTTAGTTTTTTGTTGGGATTAATAGGCGTGTCATGCATTTGACTTATTATCGTCGATATAATAGGGTATTTGGATTTGTTATTATTGCCAAAAAACTAATAAAAGCAAGTGTAATTAATTTTGTTTATTAATAAACACAAGTAGTTTAATGTAGATAAAGGCGTGAGAGATATACAGCTCTAGTAAAGTATATTTAATTAAAGGCAAAGAATACACATCTTATCAATGAATGTATTAATAAAGAAAATTTTTAATGAAAAATATTTTTAATATGATTTTATACATTGTATGTTATAGTACTGAGTGGTGGACCTCTTGAGCACAACTACCGTTTGGCACAATTTCACTGCCATTGGGGAAAGACATGCAATTGTGGTTCAGAGCACACCATCGATGGCACCTATTATTCAGCAGAAGTGAGTCCTCCATGTCTTGTGTGTTGTCTTTGTTGTCGCAGAATATGTTTTCTCTGTTGAGTAAACATACGTACGGTTTGTTTGCATCGGTGGTCACCGACTCTCACTTTTTTAATATCATTTCTTATAATAAAAATTTAATTTTGTATTCTTTTGCCTTTAATTAAATATACTTTTCTAGAGCTGTATATCTCTCACGCCTTTATCTACATTAAACTACTTGTGTTTATTAATAAACAAAATTAATTACACTTG